ATAATAATAATAATAGTAATAATAATAATAACAATAATAGTATGCAGTGATGATAATAATAATAACAGTAACCATAATAAAGCTAATGATCATGATGATGGACTTTATGATAAAGAGAATGATAACAATTATTGATGATTTTCTAAATATTTCTTATCATTATTGCAAACAGAGTAACTATAATTCTTTTAAGATACTAGATATCAATTAAAATGTGTTTCAATTTTTTTTATGATAAATAATGTACAGCTCAAGGTGAATAATTTTCGTCTTTCTTTTTTTTTACTTATTTTTCATCATTCTCAGAGGTTCATTGCATCGAAAATATTGAATTTGTCTGAAAATTTTGAACAAATTTTTTATCTGCAAAAATCATAAGATAGTTAACACTAAGAAGTTAATAAATCTTTTTAAAAAATTATGACTGATAACTGACGTTCCTTTCTAATAAAAAATGTGCTAAAACGGATAAATTTTATTTAAGTGCATATTTTGTTTGTATTTTAGAAATAGCTTTATAATTAAATGTTAATAAACTTTTTTCTCGTGTTGAATATATTTTGATATTTTGAATTATACTACACTTGATCTTTTGGTTGATTCACGATAAGAATGTTGTAATGAAGCTTATGTCAACATGAGTCACGTTTGACATATTAAGATACGTAGTATTTAATACCAAAATAATTAAGTACTTAATAATTTTCTCTGTTATTCACACAAATTTCAGTTACAATCTTAGAAACAAGCTAAAACTATCAGTTAGTATTAAATTACTAAAACAAATTTTATATATCCCCCCAAAAAAACAATAGAAATCATGTGTAGAATAACTCCCCTAATTTACTACACAATATAGGTAGATGTATATACATATAATCTTTGTTTTCCATCTTGATTGTTTTAATCGATTAAAGAATATGGTTTTAAAAACTTTGTTGAGTTTTTAATAAATCGAAAATTTTATTTTTGGAGACGGTAAAGATGGATTAGGAAAAGATTGTCCAAATGAGGGGGAGGTCAAGGGGGAGCTGAGGGTGAACGCGGGAACTTGTTCGAATATACTGAGATCAAAAATCACGTGAAAATAAGAAAATAACTGTTACTAAATTTGAGGGGGAGCTGGGATTTACTTGTGTCTATACAAATATACAATATAGGAATGTATATATAATATATATACTTAGGGACGCCCCGTAGCTCAGCTGGCTAGGTTGCGGGTTGGAACGTAAGAGACCGTGGTTCGATTTCCGGCCAAATGCGACTCTTTTGAGCAAGCACCTCTGTAAATTTTCGCATCTGCTTTTTCACCACGCAATGCTCTTTGGGAAGGAATGGGCGACCTTCTCGCAGCAAAACTGCCTATCACTTAGATTCTTAGAAGTGGGCTTGGTGACATCACATATAAATACATGACATTGCTTTCGTTGAAATTTAGTAGTCACGTAGGTGAATAATTTACTCGCTTGTACATTTCTATAACGCGCATCACTTGGATGGATTTTCATTATTCTTCATAAACATTTTTTAAACAAATTTCGTCGCAATGCGTAAATTAAAAAACACCAGTATTATTAATACCTATCAATAAGATTTCTTTTATGTAATTATATGTAAGGAAATATACGTAAAGGGAGTACCAATTGGTAAATAAAACACGTTGGGAAATCCAGTGAATAATATACAATATATATTATCTTGTACTTGTTCGCGTTTTCGACTTTACGTCATCAATAATTAATATTTATTATCATCAAGAGATAATAATAACTTATAATACGCAATCATTTTCCGATCTAATAATTAATTCGTTGATCCAAAATCCTCCTCGCTGACGATAAACTTCGTATTTACTGTCTTGTAATGCTTTGAGTCACCGAAAAAGGGATTTTTGGACCAAGATATCTACGATTTATTTTAAAACAATCGTTAAAATATCGAGAAAATTATCACCTTCTACTTCGGCATCGGAGGCAAAACCACTGTTCTCGCTTAAGACGGTCAATCCACATTACGTAAGCCTTGCGTAGAAAGAGCCAACTATTATTAAGCCAACAAAATATGAATAACATCAAAAAACGTCACATCCTAGCTACATGTACTGATACATACTATACTTGTACATTAGGTTCATGTGTGTTGTAAAACAACCAATCGGATTGTAAAGCTATATGATTGCTATCGTTATTTTTTTCTGGTTTCTGCTCCTATACATACATATTTTCATAACCAATGAAAGGCTGTGAAATATATGTGTGTATATATATACATATATATACACATAAATTTAAAAAATGAAACTAAATTATGGAAGTAACGAACTATCGTTGTTTGGCTCTGTTTGCAGCATTCAAGTTCCAGGAGAACTTGCTGAGAACGATGCTCCAAATTGAGAACACCTTCTTCCAGCTGGGCGAGAGCATATCGCGGAATTGCCTTATTATCTGTGATCGTGGTGCCATGGACGCCTCTGCATGTGAGTACTAATTTTATATATATATAAATCTTTTGCCTTTGCGATTGCTATTAGGATTTGAACTTAGCCATCAGTGCCACGCTCAGGCTGCTTTTTTAAGCTCAGAGGGAAGGCTGTGACACGGCTGTCACATAAAGTAAACACGTCATCACTTAATTGTTTTTTACCTATGAAGTATTATGGAGCTAATGTTTTGTAGATGTTTATACAATAATTTGTAACAAAATGAATATTCAAAAAGGAGAAGCAGTGTGGTCTCTCAGAAAATATCGTATTTATTGTTGAGGGTTGTTCTAGTCGACCCATGTTCAACCAAAATTTATCATTCTATGCTTTTCCGGGTGATAAAAAATATATGTTCATAAAAAATATACGTGGGCAATATGAGAAAGTTGTGGCTTAAAAAACGTGGGCCAAGGCCATTGGTGTGAACAAATATGTGAGCAAAAGTATGCAGGTATGCTCCAAATATTTTTGAAAACAAGATTTTTTCACAGCTTCTCATCCCAGTGAGTGAATTGTTTGATTTATATAGGTACTTAAAAAATCAACATCCTCAATCCACTCGTTTGTAAACATAATGCTATAATGTTCACAAATGCATTCTACACTAGTCCACACTTAATAATATGCCCTGCATGAAGAACTCTTTCTCCCTTAATGAAATTTCTGCTTGACGGGGAAGAGTTTCCAAATAAACATATACCTACCCGAACGGAAATTGTAAGTAGGCGATCAGTAGGGCTTATTTAGGCTGCCTCTCTTGCCAACTGAGGTCCTACGTTGGCAGCGTCAGGTGGCGTTTGTTAGGCCCTAAGTAGGCTGCCTCCATTGACGTAACATAACCACCTTTCAATCGATAAATAGAGATATGTTCATATGAGAATACACATTGTATTATAATTGAACAAAAGTCATGCTTCATTTCAAACGAATCATATTTTATTTCATGAAAATTTTTCATCACGGCATTGTTGATCACGTGTAGTTACAAAAATATAACCCTAAGATAAATAGAAATTTTACATAAATGAAGATATATATATCTCACCTTAAAAATATCTCTCATTCACAATTGATATCAAGTTTACAACATGAACATGTGATTCGCGAGTTAATTCTGAGGAACTATTAAATAATCACTAAGGAATTAATACAAATTACATGTTCACACTGCAGTTTACTTTTTTTTCATACAAAAACATATTGATTCGATTAAATGATAGATGAACTTGATTTGACAGTGGACATCTAAATGACAGTGTACAAGCTGTTAAATGTTAAATTTCATAATCTTAGTACGGATTTTAAATAGTTTTTATTGAAATTTTTTGAAGCACCAATTATTATTTCTAATTGAGTACTTTGAGAAACTTTGTTTAGTTGACAACAAATTTAATGTCGATTAATATTGTCAGTCTCACATATGTATAAGAATACTCATTAATCATTTGTATAGGACTCAATGAAAGACGCTTGTAACTTGTGTACCTGTGTGTAATTTTACGCTACAGTTTACACTGCAACTGTAGCTGACATAACTATATACAGCATAATATGTAACGGTGGCATTTCCCGAGAACCGCGTGTAGAGCGATTTTTTCTGACGCGAACCCCGTTGGAATTAATTTTTTAGGGCAAATAGCTTTTAAATAGGAGCCGATTGAAAATACGTTCCAAACTACCCCTAAATGGGGTTGGAAGGCTATAGCGCGCCCGCATGAACTCGCGACGTTGCCACATTGTTATTGGAGCTTAGTCGGTAAGCAGTGAGAACTATATCCATGTGCGCACGCAAGAGCGTCAGCTACTGCTGGTAACTTGAAGGTTGGATGTAAAAATTTTTACCTTAAGGTAAATATTGTCTGCTCCTTAAGTTGTCAGTTGTTTATCCACGCGCTTACTGTCTTTCTCACTCTCATGTTGGACAAAAACATCTTTAAATTTTTATACTTAAGTAATGTTACCTCGAATGAAAGTAAAATACCATATCAGTAGGGATTTTTCCACTCTACACGATCGTATTTTTGCAAAAATAGTCGAGCTCTCGGTCAAAAATATTGTTAGGTATGTCTTGCTTATGTTCCCGGGTATGTCGTCTGTACACGATTTAGAACGAGTCCATTCATAAATTGCAATAATCAAGTACCCGCCAAGTGCCCGGGAAGTACCCGCCAAGTGCCCAGGAAGTACCCGGCAAGTGCCCGCCAAGTACCCGGGAAGTACCCGCCAAGTACCCGAGGAAGTGCCCGGGAAGTACCCGAGGAAGTGCCGGGGAAGTACCCGCCAAGTGCCCGGGAAGTACCCGGCAAGTACCCGAGGAAGTACCCGAGGAAGTGCCCGGGAAGTACCCGCCAAGTGCCCGGGAAGTACCCGGCAAGTGCCTACTTGTGCCCTCAGTAGGCTGCCTAAGTAGGGCCTCATGAACTAGAGAGGCAACCGACTTTCATTTCTATTCGGGTACTTCTTCAAGCTTGAGATACATGTTTTTAATTTTATAACCTATAAAGACAAGACTATTTTAATTTCATCATACGCTGCTTGCGATAGAAATAATTACAAAACTTCCTTATAAACATGTATACATCTAACAAAACAATAAATATTTATCAAAATAATTAATATAATTTAATATTCACTTTCTATGACAAACGTTTGCATACACCTATTTACCACGTACTATAAATGGATCAGTGGATGAGAGCCTCCTCTCCCAGCTTCGCATATTTTCCACGAGGGTGCGTACTGCCAGAGTTCAAATCCTAATACATTTTATACTCTCTAAAAATGATCCAGTGAAATTCCACTGAATGGGGTAGTAAAAATCGATCCACTAGAGTTCACTGAAATTCCACTGATTCAAATGGTGAAATGTTCACTACTTCGAAACAGTAGAATTTTCATCCCCGATTTACTGAATGAACAGTGAAAATTTTCACTGAATGAATCCGGATGACTAAGCCTCGCTTTATGGTACCGCAAATACAGCCGGATCGTAGACAAGCAGAAGACAAACACAACTCTGTATGCGTATATATACATATAAATGTCTTTAAATCTCATTGGTTATTCAAAATGCATACTTTCGTATTTATGGGGTCGTTGAATTATTTTGAATTAATAATATTTCGGGTACATTTTATAATTTTATCTGAACTGATATATAATGAATTATTTTTAATAAATGTCATACATATTGGGTAACAATATTATTTATACAATTATTTGAGTATAGTACTTAATCAATACAAATATACTAACGACTTTAATTGGAAACAGAAAATTATTTCTAAAAAGTTTTGACGCTACGGGAATCGAACTCTCAGTCTGCGGCACTCTCGTTCAGATGTTTTACCATTGAGCTACCTGTATAGTGACTCAAAAATGTAAAAAACTTATACTAATCGTTCCAGAACGAATTTAAATACAGGGTGTGATTAACTCAATAAACTAAGACAACATAATTTTTTTAAATAAGCATTGTGGTTAAACTCGTCTACTGTAAATATACATATGTCTCCTACAATACATATTATCCTGCAAGCTTTGCATCTCCGCAATTATAACTGACGGATTAATTTATGCAAATCGTAACGTTTGACGTGTAAGTCGCGACCAATACACAGATTGTCAAAGTAGAAAGTGTAATTTTAGCTGTACGATTATAGTTAGAGATAATTATTGATGTTTAATAGAGCATAATCGAGTGAATGGTATATTATGTCACTAAATCTCAAAAAATAAAATAAATTAATAAAAGTAATTAAGCTTATACACAATCAAAATAAATTTTTATTTGTACATAATAAATTTTGTTACGTACATTGATAATCCGCACTTTACTGTCGGCGTTTGATGTGGAAAATAACATGCATGTAGACACGTAAACTTACTTATAAGTTTAAAATCACTGCTTAAATAAGTGACGTTTCCACTAATTTTTCAGTGGGATGGATAAGGCTTTTTAAAAGATCAGTGGACTTTTCACTAATTTTTCAGTGAAATTTTTTCCATTGGATCAAATAGTGAAATTTCCATTGGATGATATTTAGAGAGTAGATATTTACCTACTCAACATCGATGTCCTGAATGAAGAATGTATCGCCTCTGTATTTGAAATTATGGTATTTTTTTCGTGAAATGAATCTCATCGTTTTTCAAATTAAACATAGCTATTATTTTACTATAATTGGAGTTGACAATATTAGTTTAATGGACCAACAAGTATTAATTTATTTGCCTGATATTCAACAAAATAATATCAACATATTTTTCTCAAAAAATTTAGTACAAAAATAAAAAACATCTTTCATGGAAGAAATTGAAAAGATTACGTTTTTGGTCCTCAAAGCATGAAAAGGCGAGATGTCGATAGTGATACGAATAAGTACTTATCGACTTTGAGTGGCAATTTGTCGCTCGGGCAATAAATAACAGATAAAGTATACCCTGCATCTGTTAATTATTTCGACCAATGAACTCGCGCAATCTTGACAACTCGAACCTACATGTTATTGATCTTGCAACAAATACGAATGGGCGAATCATTTAATCGTTCCAATGATGCGTCGATAACACGCGGTTTGTCACGTTTACTATACATTGTAAGTCTAAGTGTCCAGTTAAAGTACACGTTTGGATGGTGTAATTGAAATATCTTGTTTTTATGTATATGGTTAACAGTTGATAAGCGTTAAAAAAACAAGATCTATAATATTCATCACCAATGTGACTAGCTTTTGACGAAACAATGAATTTTTTCCGTTCAAAATCCTGCGATGAGTTTCATTAAGATTTATACAAGAATGAAAACTACTTAACGCACTTTGGCGAAATCAAGAAAGAAAGAAAGAAAGAAAGAAAAAAAAAAAAAAAAAAAACAGTACTTAAAAGCTTGGGCCCACGTAACGCCGACAATCACGAACAAACTATGGTCATTGCACGGGGAACAGGTCGGGAGCTCTCTCTCTCTCTTTGAAGGAAAAAAAGCTACATACAGTTCTTGCTCGCGATAATCTAATTACTTTTTGCACGCCAACTACTGTCGCGTTCCTCGCTAATTCCACGTACACGAATAGCAGGAGCAACAACTAGATTTCCTAGGCAACTTTTTTTTTCCCCATATCAAGCGTACCTACTTAGTTGCACTGAGTTGTAGCTTCACTTGACCATAAATCTCGGCTCAATTAACTCCGACAACTACACGGCTTGTCACACACCAAGAGAGAGAAAGATAGAAAGAGAGAGGAGAAAAAACAAAACAAAAAGCTAATACACAACGCGTACAGCAAGGTTATCCCACTTGAAATGATTCACGTCCCGCTTGTCGTGCTTTTTGTTTCTTCCTCGTTGTCTCATCGTCGGCTCAGTTATATCAAAGGACAAGTGGGAACTGATGATGGCCTCGAACGGGTGGAACAACGTTGAGTTGCGAGACAATCGCTACAATCAGATAATCCACATGGTCTCGGCGGCCAACGGGGCCGAGGAGTTTTATTCGACGGAGGACCACAATTGCCGTTCCGAGGGCATCGAGCTGGCCCAGGAGCTCGACTACAAGGCCGCTTCAGCCTGGGTCGGGCATCCCTACTTCGACGTGATCGACAACTCCCAGGACTTTGAGAGCAAGATCTGCCGGATGATCGAGGCCGTGTGCCAAAAACTCGGGATCGACACCGGGGACCGGCTCCGGGCTAGCAGTACCAAGGTCAAGTTTCTCGTTCGGGGACCTTTGCCCCCCGATTCCGAATTTCCGCCCTTCCAGGACTTTGACGTTGTGCACAATTACCTACAAAGCAAGAATCCCAAGACCCAAGCGCGGCTGCGCAAACGCGGGCAAAAAGGTGAGTAATACTTACACCTTGATGTTTGCACTGTTTATCTATACATATACTTATGCCTACCATGTGTTTTTTTTGGGGGGAGGGCGGTGAGGAAGGGAGAGCGATGGAGTATGTTACAAATATGTACTATGCGAGTCATTTCAAAAAATGACCGTATGGTAATTATGAACTGGCTGGAAACATTTGGGCTTGGTTTTATCGGCGATTTTTTGAAAATCCAGGCTCATTTGAGTGGAATTTTTGAAAGACTAAAAACTACTCAGGAATACCAAACGATCCGTTCCAAGTGTCCAATACTTTATCACTCGAGTCATTTGTCGCGTTCAACTTCAAATTTTAAAGCCGTTAGGTGTAGGTACGACTAAAAAATCTTGTAATTTTTCAAAAAAAAAAAAAAAAAACAATTTTGTATTGTTCCAATCTTCAAGGAAATAAGCTTTAAAACTCACACTTGCAATTGAATTTTTATTTTACTCTGCATTATACGGTGCTAAGACTTTGGCCTGTTTTTTATTTTTTCATCTTATAATCACGCAAAAAATTATTTCGACTTGATGTCAAAAATGTAATTGACTTAATACATAAACACAAACTGTGGTTGAACCAAGACTTGTTCTGCGATAGCTTATAGCGAAATTAATTTGCTAAGAAAAAAGGGCTGGGGAAAATGGAGTTCTCTTACAAATCCCTGACCAAGGGCAGTGCTACGGTGGTTTCCCCGGTAAAACAATAAAAACTCAAATTACGCTCAATTAACTCGCTCGTACTTACCGGCTGAAAGACTTGTGGCCATAAAATGACTCTGTGTTGAAGAAAATAAATACACTTGGACGGAACCACTGCAAACCCAGAACACGTTTTTTTTCTTTTCTTCTAAAATATTTTATTCGCAAAGAAAAATACATTTTTCTTCCAAGAGAGTTGTACGATTGGCGCTATCGATTAAAAAAATACTTCCTTAAATCTTTATATATTTTAATGCGTATAATTTTACACTCGGGTACACTTAAATATACTCAAAGGTCATTGTACGTGCCACGATGAGATTTATCAATAAACGACAATGGTCCAGTATAACCAACAGCCGAGTAACTAAACAAAAGTAATTATATAAGCCATAATAGTCAACAAAAATGTGCCATGGTGAACGTGGATTATCGTATAGTTTTGAGCGGATTCTCGTGATTGTTTTTGTTATTTTTATTAACTTTGTTCATCAACGTGCCGCAATTTCCGAGTTAAATATTCATAAATATCTAAATAACCATCAAACTCGAGTTGTCTTTTTTTTTTTTTTTTTTTGTTAATTTAACAATGCTATTAATAGCATCACATTTTTTATGTTATGTACCTAACAGTAGGTATTGTTCAGTGAGAAAGGTGACACTATTGATACAATTATTTATAAAAAATTGTCGAGTAGCGTACGAATTTTTACTTCAGCGTAAACTTAAAAGCCCAGACACTAGCTGTGTCGTCTGCTTGTTTATCTGTATGATTCAATACAAGGTATATAAATAATATTATACGTACAACTGTCAACTAACAAATGATTGGAAAATGAACAAAAAAAAAGTTAATTCTAATTCTAACTGGTACAAGTACTGTTTTGTGCTAGGATGTACAAATACTACAGCGAAGAATCAATCAAAGATTTTTTTAGTCATCTCAACCAACCCGTTCAAAAAAAATTGAGAAAAATTAGTCACTATTTTAAGGATCACTTTGATGTATGTATGCAAGCACAAGTATTTTGAAAGAATTTTTTAATTTATTTGATTATCCATATAGTTACAGTAAAATTTAACCTTTTCTTAAAACTTAGTTGCAAAATGTTACAATACTTTATGTTATAGAAAATTTTTATAAACTTGAATTAATCCAATATGCCAAAACACGACAAAATCTTTGAGTTTTTACGCAACGCATTTCCATGCTTCCATAGCACTCGTTGGAACGCCAAGTGTCAACAACTCTCTCAGTAAAAAAAAACAGTCTGCTGTCTGCTTTGAATGAAGCGTATTCCAATGAAGAACAATGACGTTTCAAAGTAAAACCTGACGTCATTAATCGCAAGTCGAGTAAACCTTAAAAATTCAGAAGTTCTTACGTCACTGTCACGTGATATCGATTTGAATGAGAGCTTGAATAACGTGCTCGGAAAATATTTAATTTCTTGATCCATGCACTATTTATTGGTGATACTATAACTCATACATGTTCAATTGACATTACGCTTGCGATATAAAGTATTAGCTGATTGAATCCTGCTGCATGCAAGTTCTGTGTTGTGAAAATTGGGAGACGTTGCGAGGCAAGCCAGATTAACATTTTATACTTTTCTTCTGATTTTCTCTTTAGTTAAGTCGTTGACCCTATATTTTTAAGAATTTAATAGATTCTTTGTAAAAAAAATTCACAAGAACTATTTTTAATTTTTGAGGTTAATCAAAGATTTCCAAAGATATAGTCGATTTTGTGACCACTGTCCATAAGAGTAGGTGTTAAATTGGTGAATTTTCAGCAGCGATTTGTGAAAAAATGAAGTCGTTGACCCCAGTATTTTTTCATCGCAAATGCGTTTGGCATACTTTATTTACATAATTGCAGAATCTCAGAGGTTTTGATCAAGCCGATAAAAATCGCCCAAGCCACCTTAAATCTTCAAAAAATGGCTGATTGAGACAAAAAACGTTCTTTTTTCCAATAAAATAACTATTACCTCATAATGAACATCGTTAACAGGTCACTGGTCGTATATACACACGATAAGACGGCCAAAGATGTGCGGCCAGGTGATCGAGGTCAAGACCCAACTGACCCACAGAGATTACCTCAACATGCTCGCTCAGCGCGACGACTCGCACTTTACCATATTCAAGCGCAGGCGCTGCTTCCTCATTAACAACCAGTACTTTCAATTGGACATATACAGAGAACCGGCGCATCCTAGGTAAGCTTACTCGACTGATCACCACGATGTAAAATAAACAAATATACACGAATATATTTATTATATATCACCCCATCATATATCATATATCACCCCAATGCTCGCATTTGCTGCGCATGTGCAGGTGCAAGGGACTGATGCTCCTGGAGACTTACACCGCGCTGCCGAGCGACAAGCTGCAGAACATCCTACCTCAGTTTTTGACGATCGAGAAGGAGGTCACCGACAATCCCGACTACAGCATGTTCAACTTGAGCCTGCGCGCGGAGTGGAACACCAAAAATAAATACTGTCACAATTTGAAAAGTACGTGTCACATTTGTACGATTTTAATATGTGTCGGAAATGTTTTCTTTTCCTTTTTTTTCGATATGCAACAAAAAAAGAATACTGCCGACTTTAAAAATCATCTGTTTCAGGTGCAATAAGCACGAGGAGCACCGGCGATCCCAACAAGAGTGCCTCCTGCAACGATAACTGGGACCATCTTTTTACGGAAGATCAGCTCGAAGAATTAAACAAATTGGATCTCATCAACGGCTTCAAGCAGCTATAAGCCATAGTGTAAGCCTATAGTGAATAATGTACACGATAAGTTTTTTTCCATTCTTTCTTTTTCTCTTTATTTTTTGTTGTTCAATCGATTTTCTCACGAATCAAAGTTTCGTCTCAAGTGTTGAGGAAATTTCTTTCTCAGACTCCACATAGATAAGCAAAAACCATTGTAAGCTTGATCAAAGTATTTTTGGAACTTTCACTGATTAATCTTCCGCCCCTCTCCCCCCCCTCTTATTACCCGACAGAATGTAGATTTGTTGATTAGACTTTTGTACATGTGTACCCTCGATTAATGGAAGTATATTGAGCAACAACGTTTTACAATTTGGATATTGTATAAAAAATTCTATTTGGTCCTTCTTGTAGATTGTAAAAAATTATTGGACACGTATTTTTTTTTTTTTTTTTTCATATAATCATGAATTGACAGAGATAGAGCACGTCAAAGTTCAAGAGTGGGGGTAAAATACGTCATAGGGACACAACAATTGTATGTCTTTATGGCGTCATAAGCTCCCACTCGTGAACTTCAACTTGCTCTATCTTTTTCAATTTATATTTACTTATATGAAAAAATACGTGTCCAATAATTTTTTATAATCTACAAAACGGACCAAATAGAATTTTTCATGCAAGATCCCAATTGCATAAAATCTAATCTGCTCTACATTTCATAGCGAAACCCCGTCAGTAAATTAGTACAGTATTATGGTATATTGAGATGTCATGAAAANATAATAAAAAATGAAAATGAAAATCATTTATAGTTTTGTTTTTAACTTTGATTACTCTAATGACTGATCACTTTTCTTGCCATCACCCGCGACAAATGGTAGTAATAGCTTATGATTACACCAATAGTTTGTGTTCTGATATGTCTCATCGTATACTTCAAGACTCAGGACATAACTGAAAAAAATCAATACTTTTAAATTCACGGGAGAAAAAATTTATCTGAAATAAGTACATATCTTGGCACTATTTTAGACTCAATTGTTAGACGTATAGTTATATAGATATTGTCCCTGAAAACGTCGAATAAAAAATTTAAATTCAGATTATTGAGAAACGAATCGTAAAATTATATTTACATCTTCAAAAATCTTACAAAAAACTATAATTACGTATACACTCGTAAAAAAAAGCAAATCCTATTTATTAATGTAAAGTCGACTAGGTATGTACAATTAGTCAAATTTTACTTAAAAATAGAGTTGTGTCGTTTAGTAAAATTTTGATGGTAAAAAGTATCAGCAGCTTTTTTTATTTATTATCATTAGATATTAGGTAACTTTGCCAAATTAAGAAACCTGATAAGATTGAAAATTGTTTGCGCCGGTTTGAAGGTATCACAGGGACATGTATAGCGACGCGCTAATACATGAAAGATGCATGTGTAACAAGACAAATCCTCAATTGTGTAACTTTAGATAAGTTGAGTAGGTTATTAGACATTCTTTCAAAATCGCTCAAATTTTAGATAATTTATTTTACGTTTTACAAAATCTGTAATAAAGAAAAGCCAACCTTTAATTGCAAATAAGGTACATAAGTTAGTTTACGTGAACGTATATCAAATTATCATTTGTTAATCCTTGGAATCGTTACACCTATGAATTATTTCACCAAAAAATTTTTTTTAATAATTGTCACTCATGAAGTTACTAAAATACGAATGATTTTTTCATATTTAATTCTATAAAAATAAAGTGACGTATAACATCGTAATAAATATGTGTTGTCCGAGGAAAAATCAATTTTGTACTAATTCTGGGAACTCTGCGATTTTTACCTCAAATACTTTTATCAACTGCGTGACAATGAAATGTATGATTAACAAGTTTTCTCAGTAAACTCGCAACTATGTTATATTGTGCCGTAGATTGTTGAATTAATAATTAATAATAAGTATGAAGTATTGAAAGAACATTAATTTAGGTGTACTTAACACTAGCATTATTAGATTTTTGAAGCATTAATTTTATAAGCAGGTCTTGAGAAGAAAAAATACATGTAATTGTGTCAATACAGATTTTTTATTTGTATTGGAAAAACTTAACTATTTGCTTTACTAACGTCAAATGGTCATACCGCAAGTATTGATACTTATTTTAAAGATTTTTAAACACTTATTTTTATACTTCAAAAAAAATTACATACAGCAACTGATTTTACAGCAATCGTAATTCAATAAGAGGTACAAAAATTAAATTTTGATTTTAATATATTGTAAAAGTTGTGGATTATTTAAGTTTTATGGTTTTGTACAAACTTGAATGACTAAGGAAGTTTTTCAATAACTATTATTGCTTCTAAAACGATTATTCGTGAAAAAATCAATTCTTTTCATTTCGTACTGTGAAACGAAAGCCGCCACTTGAGAATGGCCATTTGAAGAAAAATGTGCTGTGATTTATTTCATAGAAGTTATTAAATACTTTTAAGAGAGAGTGTAATAATACACGGGCACCAAAAAGCAAAATAAATACTTTTTCTTTAGTGTGTTTTACTGTGATGATCAAATCTGATGTATGCTAAAGTAAGTAATGACCTATCACAGACTCTTCAACTTAATCTGGCAGAGACAGCTGACAAAGTGCCTGTGAAGCAAAAAAAAACAAAAAAACAAAAACAAAAACAAAAACAAAAACAAAAACAAAAAAAAAACGAGAGAAAGAGAAACACTCGAGGAATAATTATATTTTCAAGAATGTTGTATTAAATATATCACTTGTCAAAATATGTATGTGCACTACAATGTGCGTACTATCTGACTTTATATTGTACTTACAATTAATAAATAAAATGTCGTTTGTCTGCTGAAAATTATGTCTGAAAAAATTTATTTTAAACAGATTGGACAGCAAAAAACAGAAACTCTACTAATTTGAATTATATTTATTGATAAATCTTTGAAAAGATGCATACAGAGCAGATCATAAATATATTTACATCTGTCATCAACTACGCCACTCTTCAGCTCCCTTCTCATTGCTTACCAATTAATGTAACATATAAACATTAATTTTTAAAGACTCTCTACAGAGAATTCGTAAAAATTAGTCCTCATCTAAGTAGGTATACAATAATTCAGACTGACTCGAGCATAAAAACAACATTAGAGTCCGTCTGCGTTGTACCGAATTATCGCAATTACCGGTTTCTCTCATTGTATGAAAACAGAAGTAAAATCGTTATGCTTAAGTTAAATCTTAACAGTGTGCCACAGTAGATTGTACAGTATAAAGTAGAATATCACTAACTTTGTTTCCTGATAGAAGTGTAAATAAATCTGAGCAAACTATTGTCCTTTGTACAAATAAGTTTTAGTGAACAATTCATTGAAAGACAGCCACGTGATTTTCTAACGACTAGTATTTAGCATGTATACTTTATTGATGAAAAATAAAATTAAAAGTAAAGTCTTTCTAGTTGGGTGTGAAAAAGATGTAAACTAACAATGCCTATAAAAAAAGGTAAAGTGAAAGAGCAAAACAAAAATATGTTAGCTCATTGAATTGACAATTTTGTAATTAAAGAAAGAATACATTTTTCACATTATAGACAATTTACACAATTAGTAACATATAGATTTCGACAACAGTGCTTTTATTGTTTATAACAAAAAACCATACTCTATAAAATCACACTATGCTTTCCTTGTTCATTGTGTCAACAATTTTTTTATGTACAAAAGTATTAATACATTAATGAAAGTTTAACTTATAAAGTACACGAGTATTAAATCACATGAAGTATTAACGTAGTTATCTATAAAAATATTGAGATTATTTTGTTCTTCCTAATATCAACCCTGCAATGATGGAAGCAAAATTTTTTACAGGAATAAATATAAAATGAAAGCTCTATTTAGAAAAAAAAAAATATCTTTTGCTAAGCTTACATCTAATCACAATAGTTTGTAAATAATATTAATTTACAGAGTATATTGTACAAGACGTGGGAAGCGATAAGTGTCGGATCCATTTAAAATGAAGTACAAAAAAACCTTGGACCCAAAATTTAGCTGCATAAACGTAAAGCAATCTCTATCATAGACAGATTACAGTAAGAATGATCAACTATTTAAGATTAATTTTTATGTTTTATAAGAGAGTTCTACACTGCTTCATCAGTCTAAGAAGTCATTTGCTTCAACTTTGAGTATTGAAGAAATAGAAGGTTCAATATATTTTAATGCTTTCACAATAATTTGCCAGTAAGTATTTTAGAAATATGGGTACAAATGCGCTTGTCAGTTTGGTATTCTTGTGTGTAAATCACGAATGACATTATTATTTCGGTTCATTAAAAAATGTCTTGTAAGTAGTTAGCTTTCATTATTATTATTTTTGTAATTCTTATCAACAACAGAATTTAGAAATAATGAAAGTTTCAATAATAATAGATTAACTTGTAATTAACAAAGCATTTTTGCTAATGCATGATAAACATAATCTGGAAAACTGATTTTTACTATCTAGAATATATTAATATTGTAATGGAAAACATGTCACTATCAACACCAGACGAGTACACCTTTTGCAACTTGGCAAATTTTGTTTTGATTTTTGACTTATGTTTATTATTACAACTCCTTAGCAATGATTAAAATCATCACATCCATAGCTAACTACAGTATTTTGAAACACTTATAAAAAAGCTGAACTGTGAGACTTTAATATTTTTACAAAATCTTTCATGGTCAATATAATGGTTATAGTCATATTGCTTTATTTATTTGAACTTTCATATGATTAGAAACATTTATACCATTTAAAAGTAAAAAAGTGTGTTCAAGTATATCAGTGACATAGTTGTTTTACAACGTAATAATAAATATTGAAAGAGAAGTTTTATGATTAATGCCTAAAAATTTACCTACTAATTGCCTTTGCTTGATGCATTTTGTACATTTTCATCACTTTTTTGCCAGGTATGAGGGTCTGGCTCAGGCCCGGCCTTTTTTTACGCTTAACCATCTGGTTATTCTCTTGATCCACCTCTTCCTCGTCATTTATGCCTATCTGAGCATTGTACTGCGTCTGACATATGACAGTTTCTTGAGGAGCTCGAAGAGCCTCTAGCTCGGCAGCTGACCGGTGCAAATCCGAATCATGTGCAAAGGTACAGTTGTGGCCAAACCGGCACCTACCTTTGCGATAGTTCCAGCAAATTTTTCTGCCATTGATCATTTTCGTGTCACCCAAGGTGGGAGTCATTTTGACATGTTTTTCGAGAATAGCACTTTTGGCTCTCTCAGCTTCAGCAAAGGGATTTGTGAAGACTGAAGTTTTGACGGCAGGTGAGCCATTGAAATCTGGTGTGGGTAATGGAAGCTTAATATTGGAAGCAGTGTCATTCTGGTTGTCGTCATTGTTACCGTTTTTTGATTCTTCTTCTCCCTCGTCTTCCTCAATCTCGCCCTTTGAACTAATAGTTAGGCAAGATCAGATTACACAGAACCAGCTTGATCTTACGTGTTATAATGAATGTTCGGGAACAAATACAATGATTTCTTTTAACCTAGAGAATTCAAATAAAATAAAAAAAAACTGATTTTTACTTAAAAGGACAAGGTCAACATTTCCTTTCATTTATAATAATAATTTTTTACTTTGGGTCATTATATAATTGTGAAATGGTTTATGCAATAACAGAGGAACTTTCATATGAATAATGCATATCATGTTATTAATTATGGTTCATCAGTAGTGCCTGCATCCATTCATACTCCTTCACGTAAATAAATCATAGTTCTCGCATATAATCCGTATGTGTCAGCAGGGAACAATGTAGGCCGACTTTAAACCAAGCAATCATCAAGTAATCCAAAGATAGATAAATCCGTAACAGATAGTAAAGAGAAAAAGCACACGCCACATCACAGTTACTAATAAAATGCGCATGCTTGAAAAACATTTTAATTAAAATGAAAAAATGTAGTTAGAAAGTAAGCTAATAGTTAGTCACAGGCGTAAAAAAAGAAAAAAAAGAAGTATACCTGTATATAAACGCTAGATATAGAAATTTGGATTGTTTTGACAGAGACGCTTGGGAAAGATGTTACAAGTGAGATACTAGTTGTTTTCATTATTACTATGATTATTTTTACATCATTTAAAAGTTTGTCTTTGGTTAAAAAAGGCAAGCTGATTGCGCGTGCAGGCAATGAATCTGTTGAGCTTGTCTACTAATTTAGGGATTTATATTGCATACTTGAACCAAGACTACACCGAGGTACAGACGAGACTTACGATTCGAAGGCCGAAAGCACGTCGGAGTCGTCGTCCGAGCCCGAGGAAGTCCCGTAATCCGCAACTAAGGAAGCCATTCTCCTCGTTGTCACCACCACAGCTCTTGGAAGCGTGCGCGCAAGGTAATAGTCGTACTTAATACATGAATTAAATACACTAAATTGTAAGCGATGTCAACAGATGGATGGGGGACGGAATTAGGGACAAGTAATACGGAGAACACAATAAAAAGAATTCAGAAGACAAATATTATGTGCGCAGCAGGACGGCGCCTCGGCCTCGACGAGGCGCGAAGACTGCGATATGCGATTGCCCGAGTTGTTCTCATCGGCCTCGTCCTCGTGGATGGAGCGACGCCTCACGTTATGTCTCTATATGTGTTTTGTTTTTGTGCTGCTGCATGGACGCAATTGGGATTTGAACTTAGCCATCAGCGCCACACTCAGGCTGCTTTTGTAAGCTCAGAGGGAAGGCTGTCACATAAAGTAAACACGTCATCACTTAATTGTTTTTTACCTATGAAGTATTATGGAGCTGATGTTTTGTAGATGTTTATACAATAATTTGTAACAAAATGAATATTCAAAAAGGAGAAGCAGTGTGGTCTCTCAGAAAATATCGTATTTATTGTTGAGGGTTGTTCTAGTCGACCCATGTTCAACCAAAATTTATCATTCTATGCTTTTCCGGGTGATAAAAAATATATGTTCATAAAAAATATACGTGGGCAATATGAGAAAGTTGTGGCTTGAAAAACGTGGGCCAAGGCCATTGGTGTGAACAAATATGTGAGCTAAAGTATGCAGGTATGCTCCAAATATTTTTGAAAACAAGATTTTTTCACAGCTTCTCATCCCAGTGAGTGAATTGTTTCATTTATATATTTAAAAAATCGACATCTTCAATCCACTCATTTGTAAACATAATGTTATAATGTTTAAAAATGCATTGTCATTTGACACTCTTCCACATTTAATAATATGCAATGCCCTGCATGAAGAACTCTTTCTCCCTCAATGAAATTTCTGCTTGACGGGGAAGAGTTTCCAAATAAACATAATATATACCTATACCATAGGTATATAAAAAATAGACTGCTTGTTTTTACGTACGGCGCTGAAGCACAAGTAGAAAGAGACACAATATCGAACGTGTAAATCTGTCTCTCTCGCACGTAGCCAACTTTAACGTGGTGGTAGCACTGGTAGCATCACTTGGGTCCTACATGAGATTGAATCAACTGTAGCCTATGGAATAGAGTCGCAAACTGGAGTCGTACTTATAACTTATAACCTTACCTCTCAACTGAAACCTTGACTCTTACTATAAAAATTGTGTGAACTATTTTTGACATTTTATTGTCTTTTATATTTATTTGTTTATCAGAGATACAAATAATAACTGTTGTAAAAAAATATTTTTTTTTGTAAATAAAAAAAAAGTTATTGGAATAATTGAAATATTATATATTTTATTAGGAAGGACAACGCATTTTTTATAAAAATACATTTTTCATTGTCATATAGGACGGAGCAGATGCTAAATTGAATGATTAATACAAATCTTAAGCTAAGTGGATAACATATGTACTTATAACAATCACAAACTTATTAATCAATGTATACATGCAATCGATCACTGACCAGAGATGATAGTTACTTTATTGTTTTTCATTCTTATATGCTGACTGTTGTCATTTAACATACGACTTTCATGGCTCATTCTAATATTTGTGTAACGCTGTATTATTATAAAGAGATTATTTGGTTTCTATGATTGATCAAGGGATCTTGTTCTAAAAAATGTTTATCATTAAATATGTTATTTGGTAAACTGCGCATAGTTTTAGTCACAATCATTGGACAAATATTTTTAGAGAATAAATTATCTGATTCACGTATGACTTTTTCTGTACATTAACACAGAGTTATAACACTATTTGATGCAAAATTTAATCCACCTCGGTTCCTCAGCATTATTAATTTTGTATCAGGGTCAGCGTCAGAACCTTGCAGGATATTAAAGCATTGGCTACAGTGAACAACTTTTTTTTATTACTTTTTTTCTATTACTTTTTTCTATAACTACTGAACCAGCAACGTAAGAAATTATGTGATTGGAGTATTCACTTCCAAACCACTGAGACTGAGCTGGACAGTAATTATGCTCAAACATTAAACATTTTTTTTGTGAATCTGGAGAGTTATCCTTTGTAATACAGGGTTGTAAAAAATTACCAACAATTTCAGACGTCTTTGTCATAACTCCAGCACCACCTATCTGGAGGCTGCCTGATTTATCAGAACCACTGTCAAGAGTAATCATTAAAGTGGTGTCTAATGGTGAACAATTTGCTGATGGAGACACACTAACGTTTATCTTATATATTGCACATAATTTTCTTGATGGCAGAAAGGTATGAGTTGTCGTGTGATTATTATTGAACCCATTCATTCTGCGAATAATTGAGAACATCATTTCTATATGGTCTTGTGACAACTTGTAACTCAACAAGTAATCAATATATTTATTTTTAAATAAACTTTGTGCCAAATTAACAAGATTTTTTAAACATATTATAAGCCCAGTAAAACCAGTAAACGTTCCTGGACAAGCAGTGACTTTCATTAAAACAAGTTTGCTGTTTTTCATACCTTTTTTTTTACCTCTTGAACAATCATAATATACTGTCAAATTTAAAATGTGTAAAATAAATTCTTCTGTTTTTTGTTTCAAGTCTTTTAGAGAACTACTCGTTATTGCAGACCTTCCTGGAGTTTTGCCAAATTTACTTCTAACATTGAGAACATCAAAAATGTCATTTAAATTTTTACAGAAGACAGCAGTTGCTGATGCTCCACTAAATTTTTCATCTTTTAAATGTTATTCAAGGAAATTTAAAGCCTTAGCTGTACTATTGCTTAATACTTGAACTGCTAAAAAAACTCTCATCTTTTCATTATGAAAATTTATGTGTCTGTTTTTAATTGCTGTTGCACTATGTAATTTTTCTTCTTGCTGCTTTGCGTTAAACTTTTCAATAAAACTCCAAGTAATGTTATCCCCGCTATTATACATCAAAGGACCTTTGAGAGCAAAATAATTTTGACAGAGCTTTATGCAGTGACAGGGATCATAAAAAATATACATGGGTGACCCTGTCTGTGGATGAAGAAAATATGGTGTAAACTTTTCTTTATCAGCGTAACTCAAATTGGCACCTAAACGTTCACACGCTGTTCTATGTGCCTTATCTCCATCAAATGTCAGACTAGAAATAGTTGTATTATGGCTCTCCAGTTTTATTAACAAATCTTTGATCAAAATTGATTTTTCCAAACCGTTGAGCGAATGTATGAGATAATGAGCTACAGGTGCTTTAAAAGCACCATTGATACAAACAAGCATGAAAACGAGGGCCTTTGTAGCTACTTGGGGTTCACCATTACTTTCAATTTCATTTAATCGACCCCCCAAATCGACTAATCCCTTCAACATATGACTAGATGCATCCCACTCTTTGTGCTGCTTGATGCTCATCTCATCAAACGTTAAATTAAAAATTAAATTGCAACCTTTTACTCACTCTTCCTCCAGTAGTTTTGAAACTTTATCTATCGTCTGCTCAGAAACTCCAGGTCGATAATCATTCGAATTTAACCAAGTGTTCAAACATTTTACTGATGGCAAGCACTGTAGAAAACGTCTTCGTACCATTTCGTATGCAGATGGTGAGTGAAAGTGAAAACTTCTGGCGAAATTTTTTAGATTAGATGGGAAGGCAGCTGTTTTATTTTTCTTCTTCATTCGTTGAATCAGATCTTGAGCGTGTGCTGGCAATTCCTGTTAAAAAAAGAACCTCTCATTTTAGTAAAAATCAAAGAAGGCTGAAAAAAAAAGTAAAAAATTTTTATAAAAAACCTTATTCAGTGTAAAAATTGATTTTTCGCAATAGTGTGCGAAAAAACTTGTACGCAACTCGTGCGGGACGATTTCCCGCACTTGTTACGTAAATAACTATTGAGTTTGATATATAAATAACGGAATGTAAAAATTCCATATCTCATATGAATTTAAAAAAGATCAAAATTTTTTTATAATTTATAAGCGTATAAAATTACGATAGTGTAGAAGATTCCTGTTCACATCTTGACTGGAACTCGTTAAGATGATTCACTTAAACACGTTCCTTACATTTGTTAGACTACCACACCACTCAAAAAAAATGACTGTGAAAAAAAATAACATTCTACAAGAAAGATTTTGGCTAAAAAATTAAAAAAAAAAAATTTCAACATGAACCTTCAAATAACTTGCAGTGCTAAACTTTTCTTTCATCTGTAAATTTGTTATAACATTAGAAAGGGACTGCATTTTTTTGACTTTTCTACGATTGCGGCTGTATATAGTACTCATCAGTTTTGATCCGCAATAAGCCTTATATTGTAAAAACTTGGTCCAACTGTTATCTGATGCAAAAGCCTCTCGGCTTAAAAATTTCACAATTTTACCATGTCGGAACATTACTCTATTCGGACTACGTTTTTTGATGCTTCTCCTGGAGTTGATATTTGTTTTTTCAGTTTAAGTACCTACACACACTGCTGCTTTTGTCGCATAATAACAAAGAATATTGTGCATACCTTTGTACATTAGGTTTTTCACGAACATGTATACGTGTGCTGACAATAGACTCTACAGAACCGTTGACTACATTATCAATACTGCAATTTTTCTGGATGATATTATCATTATTAGTCAAACAGTCTGTAGCAGAGATTAGAAGGGAGATTGCCAGCGCCCAGTGTTGGGTAAGGAGGATATGATTTTGCATTTTTATCACTAGGACCTGTATATAGCTACAGATTCTAGTGAGAAAAATGCAAAAGCTGGATAGGAGGGGGGAGGAGGCCAGTGGTTCTCCCCAAATGTGACTGGCAAACTTGTGGGAAAATCAATTATGCAATGTATTGCAAGACGCAAGTACCCAGATAACTCGACACAATTACATGCACAATAAATTAATAAACTAATCCCAAGCAATTTAACCCAATAACCCAATGGGCCAATAAGCAGCCTCATGAGTTTGAATAAATAATAAAANTTCAAAATGTTTACTACAGACAACTGCAGTTTTTAAACTGTATTGATGAGACTCCAAATTTAAAGATGCCATCCATTCTTTCCTTGT